CCCCAAAACCCCAAAACCCCAAAACCCCAAAACCCCATTGATCAATATTCTCTAATAGTTAAAGTAAGTTCATCTTAAAAATGTAAATATAACTTTACAATCCAATGTTAAAATTGTTTTTGCTAGTAGCAATGCTCTCATCTTAGAGAATTCATGGCATTATTTTGCTAGCCTACTAGATTCATGACAAAAGATTAATTAAAAAATCCATTTTATCCACTAATGTCACTCAACTCGGTCTATAGATTTTCACCGCCCATTCCAAAACCATTCAAAATTTTTCCTCCAAATGCAAATCCTCTTCCACTAACTAATGACAAAGAGGTATGCACGCTTTATTGAAGGTCCATTCCACCTCTCGTGTGCTCTGAAAAAGTCTGTCTAACAAGATGCTCATTTACTTCCTGTCCATTTTTCCATCTAGCTTCTCCTGTCTTTTCATTGAAATCGGGAATATCAAAGAGGTTAATGATTTTTCTTTCTTATATGATTCTTGATTAATCAGTGTTGTAAGTGTTGTTTGACTTCAGACTTGAAGGATTAATCTAATTTCTTAGTTAACTGTACGGTCTCTCTCTTGCAGAATGGCCTCCATAATGATGTGTACGATCTTAATGATGATGATGCTAGTGACCTTCGCTATGATTATGCTCAAAACTTGAATCAATAATGCATGTTGTGCATCTTAGGGTTTAATCAACATCTTAAGTTGTATTTGATTAATTTCTTTCCTCACTTGTTATAAGATTATTGTAACCCCCTTCTTCATTCTTTTGATTTTAAGGAAGTTTTTAAACCTACTGCACAAGTTCACTCAACTCTGGAATAGCTATCTGCACAAGGTCCTTCATTGTAAAATTTCCTCTGACTTGGTTTCTCTTATAGAGATAGTATAGTATAAAGTGTTCACTGTAATTAAAAAAGGAATGTTTGTATTATCTAAAAAGAGAATTTAAGAGGTTTTTTGTAGGAAGACGAAAATGAATGTTCTAAATTCTGTTCAAGCAGAGAATATCAAGATATTCAAGTGAACCTATCTTAGTCAGACTGTTATAAAATACTTCTTTTTATTTACTCTCAAATGTTAATTTTATGCTGTGGTCTATGATAAATTACTAATCATATAAAATTACTTTTTTTAAGTTTTTCAGGGAATCTAATTTACTGGCACTTAGTTAAATATTATACAAGGAGTTGGAACTATGTATAAGTGAGCAAATACACTTTAAGGAAAGCTATTGAATTCTGAAGATTCAGTAAAAAAGGATAAACTTCCTAAGATGCTTCTGTATATGTCCCAAAATGCATATCATAATCCTTAATATGAATAGATGCCATTTCCTATAGGTATTAAATTTGCAAGGTGATTACTTATGGGAAATTTGATTCTTTTGAGAATTCTGGTCTCTAAAGAATTATTCTGAGCTCATCCTCAAAAATAAGGTTATTATAAGTAGCAAACCAAACAAACCCTTATTATTTTTGCTCTTTCCTTTTTAATTTAAGAGGATTTCTCTCTAAAATTTAGGGATCATTGTATAATATTTCTTACTCGAGCAAAAATCTTTTGGTTTTGTTGCTTGATTGCTTTGATTGAGCTGTGCATTAATCTTTTTCTGCATTAAGCTTTAATTTGCGATTGATGAGTCATTTTCATAGCTGACTCTTGAATTGAGCTAAGAAGATCTCGTATAATCAATCTTTGAGTACTCTTAAACTGCAACCTTCTTCTGAGCTTTAAATCTGCTAAGTCTATCTTTATTATATTACACATCACTCCCTTGCATTGATGATGTGCAAACATCCCCAGTCTGGTTATTAGAATCATTATAACTCATGTTATGAGTTCTGTTTAGCAAGTATACCTATTTCTAGAGCATCAAATTTGTATCGAATTTCAAACTGTCACCCATGTTTTAAGTTTAATTAGTACTCTAGGGTGGAATGATCTGTTTTTAATTGAAAGAAGATGGCATCATATGATTATATTTATTATTTGGCTCCATAATAATATTTGAATTCAAAAAGTAACAATATATTTATTCTGATAAAATACCTTCCTCCTTAATATACAACATTCATAACTATGGGGTTTTGGGGTTTTGGGGAGATCGGAAGAGCGTCGTGTAGG